TTTTTTTTTTCGAAAACATATTTTCTGCTTTACACTTTATATGTAAATCACGATAAATATATTGAAAGATGCAGCGCATTTCATATTTTTTCACTTTCTATGATATATTTAAATATAAACGATGTGTTTTAATAAAATCTACAAAAAAAAAACAAAGGAAAGAAACTCAATTGAGTTCTAACCGTATATCGTATTTCCAATTATATCGATCTCAACCAAAATACTAGTTTGTATAGGAGAGAGATAAGCACAAGAATAAATAGTAGAGCAAGAAAGAACAAAGTGACCTCATTTGCAAGAATCTCACCATAATCAATACATAAACGAGTCAATTTGGTTTATCATTTTGGTTAGAAATGATAAAAAATTTCTATACTCTCTTGTTGCATCTCGATTGATGATCCGTCTACGGCTGTAGGAGGGCTAGGCTAGTAGGATTGTATTACGACCCAAATAATAAACATTTTCACATAATAATAAGCTAAATATGATCAAAGATGATCTAAAAATGAATCATTCAGGATTATCAGATGAGCTAATTTAAGTAAATTTTTCAAGCTCTAACCCTAATGGTCGAACAGTTCAAGCTACAATAATGTGTCTGAAACCTTTCAAGCAATACGTTTGAACAAGAAATGAAGTTATTCAGTCATATGAGTTCTGTAAACGAGATGCTGGGAACTTAAGCCAACAGTTGTCTGGTTCCAATATGTTTCTTAGTATGCCAACATTGTTGTACAACTTGGTTATTGTGGGATGATCAGGTGGTAATAATTTTTATTCATATCTAGTGCCTGGTTATAGAATACTATAGCAGTTGAATAATTAGAAAGTTTTTGATGTGTGACTCCAATGTGTTATAAAGTCTCTGCCATATCGGGGTGTCCATCATTCGTATCAAAAACCTTCCTTTGTATTTCCAATGCTCTAAAAAATTGTCTAATGCAATATGATACTGACCAGCGTCGATTATTATACGGTTTTTTTTACAGTGTACCATCATACTTATACTCCACCCTACACCTACACCCCACCTCACACTCACACCCATCCATCTACACCTTTTGTGTTGACAATGAACTGAAAATCAGTCCAAAACATTTACAAGTTTTGAAAATAAATTCAAAAAAATAGAAACCAAATCAATGAACTCGCATTATTTATTATTAGTAAATTTGATCATTACTTGATCAGTAAAACAAAAAAAACAAAAACAATGTAAAATAATCCATTGATCAAGCAGGTATACGTACTTGTTGTTCACAAGTGCCATTAAACCACCAATCGTGAATATCATCAATAATATTTGGTTTTGAATCACGATGAAGACGTAAACAAAGATCACAAAATGGACTCATAAATTTATGTAAACCCCAAACATAATCTTTTTTCCATGAAAAATATGATAAATATTTTTTTTTATTATAACGAGTTTCATTAAGATATCGAGCTAATGAACTCATATTAGAAAATTCATTGGTATCAATATATCCAGATGATGGAATAAAGTAGGAATAATTTGTTTGTCCTCGTACAACTGGTACAACTGGATATTGAAGTGAATCGAAAAATTTCTCAGCTAGAAAAAAAAAACTCTTATTTTTCTTCTATGAAAATCTATTTAGTAAGATGAACGCACAACAAAAATTTTGACGTACAAATGCTTTTATATGATTGGATAGAACTCGGAGAGCTAATCACGAATATTACATTTCAAAAACTAAATATTTCAGTATTTTTTAGAAACTTTGATATTCTGTTTATTGGAAATAATGACAAATTTTTGAAGATAATTTATTAGTCTCGCTCAATATGGTCGACTCAATTGATCGGTCAATACAATGACATCCTGTTATGCCAAATCTATCTAGGGTTTTTTTTTTGAAAAGATATCTCCAATTCTTACACATCATTCGCATTGTCAAGTGAAGGCGAAAGAAGTTTGAATAGATTTGGAAAAATATTGTTCTGTTGTTGAGAAAATGAATTCTTTCAAAATTGGTGACAAAACATTACAGAATTGCACTCGTCTTTCAATGCCTGAATCTTGGTGCTTAGTTTTTCATGTAATATAAGTAAAGTTCTCAATATATTAGAAGACCCGGAATCTTCTATTAAGTCCCTAAAAAAGTCATTGTTTCTAGTAGTCTCGTCCACAATTCTTAGTTTCAATTCATTCCTATTCGATACATCGTTAGTAAAGCAGTTTATGTCATTTTTCTCACGTACGTAGAATGTGAAAGAAACGGTGAATATCTTATGAAAAAAAAAGAAGATAATCGTTGGTAAGAAAAGTGCTCTTAAAACAATACGATCAAATACTGACACATCTTGGATACGATGTCTCATAGCACTCTTTTTTTCTAAAACATAACAGCTGTAAGTAGCAAATTTAACTTTCTCAATAGCTAAGTAATCGAAAAAAAAAGAAATTAAATTGTTTTGTCAAATTTATTCAAGTCAGTTGCTGATGCTGAAATTTGAATAGTTTAGATCGAATTCATTCACAGTGAAATGTGCCATGAACATGATTATTAGTTCAAAGCTAACTTGAATGAATACAGTTGTCTGTTAAGAAACAGTTCATAGAAAAAAAAACAGTTAAATATATAGTCAGTGTTTTCTTTTTGTGTGTTTTTCGAAAGATGCCTATAGATCTTTTTGCGAAAAGGACTACATTCTCAGACTCTGAAAAAATACTCCATAATGTAACTTTCCTGGTTGAGTTGATGATGTGATACTCTTTACCTTCACTCTTTCATTGAATGAACCGTTCACCTTCCCTTGCCATTTCTTTTTATCATATGCATCGTGCTTATCTAAGCGTTACACATAGAACAAACCTCGATTTGTATACTTGAATATATGTTGTTCTCAACTATGAAAGCTCTGTTCTGTGATAAAAACGTTTTTAAATTTCTAGAAAAAATGCAAAGACAAAGATACCTTTTAATCAATACACAATAGAATTTTATCGTACATGTCCCTATTTTAGAGAGATCTCTTCATGAGTGATCCGTGGGAGTATGTACTACATCAATTGAGTCTCATGAATATCGGAACTTTTTTTTAGGTTATTTTGTACACGAGCATTACAGTAACTCCACAATATATTTTCAATAAAGAAATACACTTTTTAATGAATCATTGTTTTCTAGTTGCTGCTTGTCTAACTCAGAACTGACACGTCGATGTGACAATGGAACTGAAATATCGTCAATATTAAATATACATATTATTACCCATAAAAATACAAAATTAATAAGGTGCAGAAATAATTTAAAAAAAAATCGATTCTTAGAGATAGTCTTCTAATGTGTCGAATTAGCATATAATCTATCAAATAATATTTTTCGTCAAAATTAAACCTTACTCTTCTTCAGCTCTTTTTCTAAATGAATTTTACCATAAGGCCTCCGACGTGTTGACTTTTGACGAAAGGAATTTGTTGATAAGATATATGTTACTTGATACAATTTTGTATGCAAATTCCGAGTTTCACGGGTTTTGAAAGAACTGATTTTCTCAACGAGAAAAAAATATTTTTCCAAATATATTCTTTTGCCTTCGCTTGACAATGCGAATGATGTGTAAGAATTGGAGACATTTTTTCAAAAAAACAACATTGGATAGATTTGGCACAATGCGATGCCATTGTATTGACTGATCAATCGAGTCGACCATATTGAGCGAGGCGAATAAATTATCTTCAAAAATTTGTGACTATTCTCAATAAAACTATTAGCGCAATCCCTGCGTGATTAAAAATGTGAAACACGATAAAGCTGTTGCTGATAAACAAATAGAAATAGTTTCTTTCTAGTTATTTCAGGATATGTTTCTTCCTAACCTGTACTTAGTGCTTTACAACTGTACTGAGAAAGTAGTTCACATATTGTAATATTAGTCTATCGATATAAGATTTTTAACCTATTTCAAAAACACCTATCTCACTCCTTGATAAGTTTTAGAGCTGTCTCTCACAGTCTGTTATGCCTCTAAACCCTGCCGTAACGGTCTGTGATGGTCAAGTTATTAATTAAATGTTAATTAGTTAATTAAAATGTCCGTAACGATCTTTTGGGGAGGGGGAGTGGGTCCAAAATTTCTATCCTATACAGTTCAACATTCCTTTTCAGATCGTGTTTCACACAACAGGGTGTTAAAATTTCTAAAAAAAACACTGAAATATTTAGTTTTTGAATATAATATTCGTGATTAGCTCTCTGACTTCTATCTAATCATGTAAAAATATTGGGATATCAAAATTTGTGCTCATATTTTGCTTTTCGATGTATCTTCACTTACTTGTATATTCTAAGCAAAGACTATTTTCAAAACTAAGAATAAAAAAATAGTTTTCAGCTATAAATTGTCGACAATTCATATTTGATGGACACCCTTCTCCACACGTTCCATAAACTTTGACATCAATATAACGTTTTAATTTATCTATAAATTGTAATCGTTGACTGGAACCACCACAATTTGATATTAAAGCAGCAGCTGTACCTAATTTTTTCTTTTGTAATACTTCATCGGATGGTCGATGGTCGACTTTTTTTGTTTGCAAGTTAAGTTGATGTGTAGAATTTTCTTTTAACAGTAATTGATAATAAGGATTTGATTTATGGAAATATGCAGTTTGAGAATAATATGATGTTAGAATATGAGAATCAGATCGATAAGTCATTGTCCAATTGAAAAATCGACCATAAGAACCTAAATTCCGTGAATTCGCTGGTGACTCCCATAAAGCAAATACAAAACGTTGTTTAGGATGACGTTTTCCAGTAACTAGCGTTTTGTCAATATCATTATACATATGATAAACAACAGCATCTGCTTCAGAAAGACGATTAAAATCGATTGTTATATCACAACGATTAGAAAAAAATGGACAATAGAGTTCAGTCACTAAAAAACAAATAAACTCGATTAATGAACTATACATGTATACAATATTTTTTTTTTACTTTTTTGTGTCGATGTTTTATGTGGTGCACCAATACCTTCCCAATCTCGACTATTAAAAAATCCATTTGCCAATAAAATAAGTTTACTTGTATTGCCTGTGAGTGATAAATTTTGAGTGAAAAGAAGAATAGGCAAATGAGGATAAGAATCAGCAAAACGAGTTTGAAATTTTTGTGTCATAGATGACAATTCTAATTTTGAATCATTTCTTTGATTTATTTTTAGAAAGTTTTGAATAAATGAATTAGCAGTATTATGCGAAGTTATTAAAAGCATTTGTAATGAGTTTGATACACGCAAATAATGATTGCTAACTAATAAATAAAACAATACAATGCATAGAGCGAATAAACAAACATATTTAAAATGTTGTTGATAGTTCATTTTGATGCACCTATCGAATTTAAAATAAAAATTACATGATAATAAATAATTTTGTCTCTGAAACAACAAGATAAATTATAAAAACATTTAAGAAACTATTCTTTTCTTTATATACAATGAAATAGAGTGTGACAAAATGATTAAAAATATATAGGTTTTAATTTTGTTTTGGTGATGTCTTTCGGGGGAAATTTTTTTCAGATGTCCTATATTTTCTGAAAAAAAGAATAAACTTTCGACATCTGACAAATTTTCAATTTTTTCATTTCGTTCAAATTTCAAAACTTTATTCTCCAGGTTTAGTATAAAAAACGGAATCTAGAAAACTTATTTTAAGCGTTTAGCATCTGCATTCTTGATTGTTGCGATCAACACGAAAATGATCATCGAAAAAATTATTTTACTGTTTTGATTCATAGCTGCTTGTTGCTTCTGCATGCTTGTGAAAAAAGCGATAGATGTACTGTAGGTAAAAAAATTCTTTGGACACCCTGTAACACTTGTCTTGCAAAGCATATTTTACAAACAAAACAAAAAAATTTCTGGATTTTGATTATATTATTCAATAGACCGAACCCTCTACTTTATTCTACAAAAAAGAAATTTCTTTCGAGAACGTTTTTATAAAGTTTTTGGGACTTTTTTTTTCATAAACTACTTAGTTTCTGACGCCAAGATATTAGTGGAGTACTTGGAATTTTTCTTTTATAAAACCTTCATTCCTCATCGAAAAATTTTGAGTTATATTTCATTTGATAGAAAACACAAAACTGAATCAAATTATGTCTTTGGTTGCTGAAAATGATTCGAAAAAGTGATATTAATTGCAAACAAAAATTAATAACTCATATAGATCTCCCAATAATTTTGATTTTTAAGGCTTAAAATCAAATTGAAAACTTTTTTCAAGATAGAGCGGAAAATTTTTTTTCTTTTCTATACTGTACAGTGTATTTGAAAAGATAGAAACTTATTATATTCGGGAAAAACAAACATTGCTTATTCAAGAACATCATTTTGAAGAAAATTTTATTCTCTACAAGACTAGATCTTGAAAAAAGTTTTCAATTGGATTCTAAACCTTAAAAATCAAAATTATTGGGAGATCTATATGAATTTTTAATTTTTATTTGCAATTAATATCACTTCGAATTATTTTCAGCAACCAAAGACATAATTTGATTCAGTTTTGTGTTTTCTATCATATGAAATATAACTCAAAATTTTTCGATGAGGAATGAAGGTGTTATAAAAGAAAAATTCTAAGTACCCCACTAATATCTTGGCGTCAGAAACTAAGTAGTTTATGAAAAAAGTCTCAAAAACTTTATAAAAACCTTCTCGAAAGAAATTTCTTTATTGTAGAATAAAGCAGAGAGTTCGATCTATTGAATGATATAATCAAAATCAAGAATTTTTTTTTGTTTTGTCTGTAAAATATGCTTTACAAGACAAGTGTTACAGGGTGTCCAAAGAATTTTTTAACCTACTGTACACAAACAAGTGTTCGAATGTTAGTATCGTACACCTGAGCTTTAACTTTATTTATTCGTCGAGTCTTAGCCAAGAGAAATTTGCATAACGATATTTTTTTTATGGATGAAGACAGAGATAGGTTTATTGTTTGCTTTTAGAGCGTAATTTTGTTCTCATAGGCACACGTGTATGTTCCTATCAATGTAAAGAAACATGGTTTATTTATTTCAATGTTATGTTCCTGTCAATAATGAGAAAAAAGAACCGTTGAAACAACGATTATGCATCTATCAAATTTATTTAGCGATGAAGTATTATTTATTATATTCAAATCCACATGGTGTCGCTTCTTCATTGCCTCAAAAAAAAGAAAAGAGCAAGGAACAGAGAACAACGTATTGATGTGGTGACTATTATTGACAATATAAATAATAACGATCAAGAAAATGTCATATAATACAAGGTATATGATGAATGCGAGATAGTGAAGACGATACACCATTTAAATAAAAAGATTATTCATGTGTGACCAGCATGCTCAAGAAGAGCCGAAGACTTGCTTAATTTTCTCTCTCTCTTTCGATTTCTCTATATAACTCGCGTGCATATTATTAAACACACATCATCATGTTTGAATCAGCCTAAAAACACAATGATCTGTAAATGAAAGACATGTGGTAGATGGGTTTGGAAGAGCAATTTTGTAACTTTCTAGTACTAAATAGCGTGAACGTATACAAATAAAAACTTTTCTTACAGTGAATAAGTATTCGTTATTTGTATTTTCTTCAATGATTATAAATTTTTGTGATCATTGTTTTTGGAATGATTGGGAAATGAACATCTTGAATAATTGATTAGATTCTATTGTACGATAGATATTGTCTTTTTATTCAATGAGCAAGTGTTTTGATTAGTTTTTTTTTTTTTACAAAGAATATAAATTTTTACTGTTATTTTTTTCTGCCCAGAATGAAGAATCCGAAGCTATAGTTCTATCAATTAAAAGTAGAATTTTAATTTTAATTTTTTTTTCGAAAAATGTTGTGTTTATTGTTATTCATCCTCCTTTTGATATATATACATATGTGTATATCAACTAACTTGAAATCTTCGATCTCGTGCACAGTTGATATAAATTACATTATTCGAAAGAGCGTGAAAAACTGAGTATTGGGTACAAATGTTCAAAAATGGATACACTATAGTCCCCAATAGATTTTTTTGAAAATACATTTCCAAACAAGAATTGCTGTTATCTTTTTTTTTTTTACTAAGAATCTTTTTTTTCTTTCTGTCGTTTCCTCTCTCATGTTCTCTCTCCTTCTCTTCGTGCACATGCGCAAGCGTTCTCGTACACTATACGAGTAAAAAGATGACAATATCAACAAAGTAAAGATTTTAAAAAACATCTTCGATTTTTGTTATTTGGTTGAAATTCTAGTCTTATTTGCAGTGTACTAAACAAACACTAAATAAACAAATAACATCCTTTTCTTTCATCACAAGAAAATATACCTGCTTCTTTCGAGGAGTCTTATTTTTCGTTATGTAGATCGTAAGCAATGAAATATAATATTAAAAGCGAAACGAAAAAAATTTGTTCCAACTAAGAGATCATTTCTAAACAAAAAAATCTTCGTTGCCAATATATAGTTTGTCAAATAAACTTTGATTTCGACGATGTTATCGTACTCTCCAAGTGACATTGAACATGAATAATAAGCTCAAATCAAAATAGACATTAAAATGCAGTCTAAATTGAGTTAAACAATATTCAGTAACAATGAAACAGAACGGTCAGAATCAGGTTTAGTGCATACAAGAAACATTAACAAAAATATTCCTGAATCCTCACAAATCCTATAAACTAATAAAAAAATAAGCAAACAAAGGAAACTAAAAGGAAAATAGTAACAAGAAAAATAAATAAAGAAATAAAGAAATAAATAAAAACATCTTTATGTACCCTTAATAGTAGGTTTTTGTTCATTTAATTTAGTGATTAATTTAAGTTGAATTGTAATAAAGCAACGAATGGAGAGGATAATAAGATAGAAAAGAAGAGTATTTACAGAATTTTTTTCTTTTCTTGATGTGGGGTTTGGGAGAAGAGATATCAAGAAGAGACTGTTTCTTATTTAGAGTATGTACAGTGGTACAGCAACAGGGTAGTTGTTTACAAAGTGCCAAAGTGGACTAGAACTGCTGGGTATTACATTAGATAGGCAGATTAAAGATATTTTTCGTATTATCATCGGTAATGAGAATGATAATTGAAGAGTTTTTCGATGGTGCTCGAAGATTATTTTCAAGCCATCTCGAGACAATGTATATTCATGTAAATGGATTATAATCATATGGAGAAAGGTCTTTCGGACAGACCCAGAAACATTGTGTCTCTAAAACGAAGTGCTTTAGTAGAGTTGGATGGTTTCGAATCCATTTTTTACAATCTTTGTGTTGGCCAATGCCTCTAATATGTATGCTGGCACCATTGAACGAAACATCAGAGTTTGAATATGTTGAGATAAAAGTGTCGATGGCCTGTACGTCACTTTCAGCCTTTATACGATGTCATTGAATGGGATTCCATATAGACAAAATAGATTCGATACAATCATACATTCGTTAGAAGTGAGAATGCCCGCGACAATGAAAGATGAGAAGTAAACCAGTATCACGCGCAATAAGAAGCTGTCGTTTAAAAGCTACTTTTTGAAGATCAATGGGTAATATACTTGTTTCATGTAAACCTGTTCCACCTACACCTAATGGCCATTTCAAAATAGAATGTGCTCCACTCTCTTTTGAATAATTCGAGAACGCAAGTAGCTAGAGACCTGCAGCTTTCACCAATCGAAAAAGGAGACCGAAGCACGTCTTTTTCTTCGATAATGTATAAGAGGAAATCCTTTCAAAACTAATTATTTTCGAAAAGCATATAAAAGAAGACATGAAAATGACCTGTCATCTCGATACAATTTTGATTTTGACCTTAGATTTAAATAGAGGAACTTAAAGTCTATAGTTCAAGATATAATGCGTTTTCTTAGTTTTCATTACATTTCCATCGAAATGTCAAGGTACTATGTTAAAAAGTGGAAGAAATTAGTAAAAAATGAGCAAAAATCCTTGTTATTTGCTTATGTAAATACATGATTCAGTTTTCTTAACGTTAGAATGTAATAGGAGAATCAATTTGCATTGTATCTTGAACGATAGACTTGAAGTTCCTCTATTTAAATCTAAGGTCAAAATCAAAATTTTATCGAGATGGTAGGTCATTTTCATGTCTTCTTTTATATGCTTTTCGAAAA